TTTTTTTTTTTTTTAAGTTGTGGATGAATATGCAGTATCTTTATTTATTCTTACGTGGTGCTAAGGATCAAACCCAGTGCCTCACACATGCGAGGCTAGCGCTTTACCACTGAATTACAGATCCAGCTCAAGAGATTGTTTCTTCTTGGATTCCCAAACTGACTTCTCAAAAAAAAAAATTTTATGAAGTCATTTTTATATCTTCCATAGATACCTTGCACAGTATTTGCAAATCTATCAAGTAAGATGCACTTCCCTCTGAGGCAGAGAATATATTGTTAATGGTGTCCCCCTGACCCCCCTGCCCACTTATGGTACTAGAGATTGACTCTAGGGGCACTTTAACACTGAACTACATCCCCAGTACTTCTGTATTTTTATTTTGAGACAGAGTCTTACTAAGTTGACTTCAAACTTGGGATTCTACTGCTTCAGCCTCGGTTTATAGGCATGAACCACCATACCTGACTACTATTTTTTGATGCTACTCTGGGCAACATCAGCAGAGGTACACCCTGGGCTCACAAACATTACTGCTAGTTCTGTCCTTATTGTGAGCTTACAAGCGTTTTTGCTGGCATTGTCCATAGCTGTCATTCTAGCACTTTGCTCGCTGGTGGTAGACTCCTTCAGGGAGTAGTAGATGATGTTGGCCAGATTGTATTCTTGGTAATTTTGCAGCACATCAGCATCAATATCATCATAGATGCTCATGCTCTCTGTTAAAATAAGTGATGCATTTCTTTGAAATTATACAGACCAAAGACTAAGTTCATCAAAACAGCTTAATAGTATAAAAATTCTTTATAAACATTTTAAGGTTAAATAAATCTGTTCTAATAATTTCATTTATTTCTGTACTACATTTCATAGCACATTTTCAGCAAAATATGTAAACAAAGCCTTTGATACTCTATTTGAGAAATTTAAATACAAAGAAGCTGACATTCAAAACAATTACTAAACTTCATGGTTGTTAATTTTTCAGGATAGCACCAACCAGAGTACCACAAATCCAGCAAGAACAAGTTTTTTTTTTTTCAATAAAACAATTATTTCCCTCACCAGCCACTATAGTGTGATACAATAATTTCAAGTTAGCCATTTAATTATTGAAGAAATATAAATGTCAATCTGGAAAATTAAATGAAAGAATCTTTCTAAGCATAAGAAAGAATGGGAGAACTAAAAGCTGATATGAATTTCAGTTTTAATGTTGTAAAAACTTACTGGCCCATTTCCCTGGATTGAACCCAGGAGTGTTTAACCACTAATCCACATCCCCAACCCACCTCCACTTTTTTCTTTTAAATATATTTTCAATTGTAAGTGGATACAATACCTTTATTTATTTTTATGCAGTGCTATGGATTGAACCCAGTGCCTCACTCGTGTGAGGCAAGTGCTGTACAACTGAGCCACATCCCCAGCACCTCCAGCCCTTTTTATTTTGGGACAGGGTCTTCCTAAGTTGCTTAGGGCCTTGCTTTAATAGCTGAGGCTGGTTTTGAGCTTGCAGTCTTTCTGCCTCAGCCTTCTGAGCTGAGGTATTATCACTGCGCCAGGTTTGTAACAGGTCATTCTGGACAAATAATACGTTCCTTAGTGTACAACTCTCTCCATTCCATATTTAAAAATATTTTCCATATAAAAACTACTTACCAGCACTTGCAATAGTATTAAGAGAAAAGATGGGCTTTTCTTCTGTCTTATAGGAGATTACAGACCTAGAAATCATAAAAGCAAATATAAATCTCAACGATTTTTAATGTGAGACATTTAGTTATTTGAAAACATGAATAGAAAAGAACTTTGAATTCTAATTGTTTCTTGCCTGAATCGATTAAAGATGATAGAGCCTTCATCAAACTCATATCCAGAATTTAGTAATTCAAGAGCAATGACCGATGCATCTCCAAAAGTAGGGGGCTTTCTTCCCACGTCTTTGAATGTCACCAAAAACTGATCTGAATGCGTCCTACAGATCACATAAAATAGTTTAATAGAATATTTGTGTTGAAAGAAAACATGGAAAAAGAAAAAAAATTATCACCAGGGAACAAGTGTTTAGGGAAATATGAGTGGTGATGGCTCTGAGTTAAGTTGTTGTGCGTATTATCATGATATGTTGTTATAATATGTTGTGCATATTATTAGTCCTTTCCTTAAGTACCTGCAAAGTTTGGACTAAAAATCCAAGCTTTCTTATTTTATATTCTCTTTGCCTTTATATCTCTTTTAATCCTAATAAACTATTGTTCCTTTCTCACATTTCCAGGCTGTGTCAGCTCCTAAAGTTCTTTGTTTGGCTTACTGCCAAAAACTTTGGACATTCCCGTTGTATTCAACTTATGGTACAGATGAGGGACAAACGGGAAAGCAAGTAAAAAAGGGGAAGGGGAAATATATATTCCAATATATCCTGAAAAAAATAAAATAAAAAATAAAATCTCTTTGTGAGTATGCCAAAAAAGGTAACTAAAAACGATATTTGATTAAACTATCAAAGAAACTTCCATTTCATCATTCTGAACATGAACAACAGACATTTAATGTACCTATGAAGTATGCCTCTGATTTTATCACCAACTCCAACAAGCATAACTTCTTTTCCAGCTGCTGTGAGTGTAGCCACCTCACTTTTCATCTGTTTGGCAACCGAGGAATGAATAGCACCACAAAGTCCTCGATCTGAGGATACACCAATAAGGAGGTGTTTCTTCTTGTCTTCAGGTACCTTAATATCAGCTTTCTCATACAGAGCTTGGAAAAAAAAACACAATTTATAATAAGATAGCAATAATCCCTAGTTTACCAACGCATGCTGTTTTCACAATATGCAATTAAATTTAAGTGACACTTGACAAGTGTCTGTGTAGGTACTTTATTTACAACTAGGCTGAAAACCAGAAAGGTTTAAATCTGTATGTAAGAAAGTTTCCTAAGGGTCAATTAATGGCCAATTTTCTTAAATATTGACTAAAAGAAATCTCTAGTACAATTAAAAACTTGTAAAGAGCACAGAATTATAGAGGCACCTACTTGTCTAGATACCAGACTTCTACAGAATGCAAACTTCCTGCTCTTCCCGAAAGAGCAGGAAACAAATATTTACTACGCTGCTTATATAATCTGCATATCAAGTTCTTACAAAAAACTACTAATTTTGAAGTAATGAAAGACAATTTAGTTTTGGTATTATTTATCAACTGTGTTGGACTAGTCTTCAAAGAAACAAAGGCAAATGAGATTAAATGGGATTAAAGATACACTATTTTACTATGAAAATACTTGTGAGAGAAAACAGGAAGAAGTCAAAAGAGACTGAAGAGCCATCTACCATGATGCAAGCCTAACCTGCAGGAAGGAAAGGAGGAAAGGCTAGGTAGCAGAGTTCTTCACTACTGGCAGTTTAAGGCTGCTGGGAGCCCCAAGTCTCCCTAAACCAGACCTGCTTTCCCAACTGCCTATACTCAGTCACTGGCTAGAAGCAGCCCTTGGGAAGGATGGCTTGACCAAACAGGGTTTTAACAGCTGGCACTCCCTGCAGTTGCAAGTTACATTTTGCAATCATTACATTCACCCACTTCAACAACAACAAAAACAAGGAACAGAGCACTTAGCATTTAGGCCTCCCAAAAAACAAGGCCCTGGGTTAATCCCTAGCACCACAGGGGGAAAAAAAAAAGAACAGAGCACATTTACCCACTTCAAGAAAATTCCTGCTATTTTCCTCTTCAGTATAAAACAATCACAGGATCTCCCATAAAGAATAGAAAGAAGTAAATACTCAACTTTACAGAGTGGGAAGAATACTTCTTTTAAGTTCTTTAAAAAATGTTTTGCACAGTATAAAATGTCTATTTTAAAATCTTTAACATATTTTTAAAAATTGGTTTAATTTTTGTCTTTGTAGTCATAGATGGAGAGTATGCCTTTATTTTATTTATCTATTTTTATGCAGTGCTGAGGATTGAACCCAGTGCCTCACACATGTGAGGCAAGCGCGTTGCCACTGAGCTATAGCCCCAGCCCAATATTTAAAACTTTTAACCATTTCATATCTAGCAGTTCATACCTTTTTAGTTTAAAGGGCACAGAAACTGAATGGCAGCCTTGACTTAAATTTTCATTTTTATACTGCAAATAACTCTATTCAGCCATCTGAATCAGTTTCTTATTTATTTATTTAGTGGTTCTGGGGATTGAACCCAGGGCCTCATGCACACCAGCTAAGAGCTCCAGTACTGAGTCACATCCACAGCCCCTGGTTTCTCCTTTATTAAATGAGTATTTTGTGGCTATGAACTTTTGGGGGGAACATTATTATATTTATTAACAAGAAAGGTAAATAGTTCAGTGACTTTTTTTATATATAAATAAGTCAAAGAATAATTTTTTAATGAACTCTTCTGTTTGCCAAAGTTAATCTGGCCTTCGTTTTGGCTTGAGAAACTTGGTATGAAAATGCAGTAATATACTACACCTGAAGGGCCAGGGGTACAACTCAGTGGTAGAATCTTGCGTAGCATGTACAAGGACCCCATTTTGATCCCTGGCACCAGAAAAAAGTAAAAGAAAAAAAGAGAGAGAGACAGAGAGAGAGAGAGAGAGAGAGAGACTGTGGAGTTAGAATTATTGAATGCCCACTATGCCACAAATTCTACTTAAAAGTTAGGTATCCAATAATATGAGTAAGACATAATCCTATATAAACTGGAAATCACTGACCTACTCTAGGCTAGAAATGAGCATCACAACCAACCTAAGAATGAGTCCTATGAGAGTTAGTGGGTTTGAAATGACTGGATTTAACCTACCAACTATCCTCTGTACTAAATATTAAAGTGAGAGGCCATTTCATCTGAGACCTGTTCTGTTTTCTTACATAAAATTTTCTTTTGCAGGATAAATGTATGCTTATAAAGGTACAGAAGAGTACAAAAAATTACTGCAGAAGGCAATTCTACATCTAATGCATAGATATACTTTATATACAATTTGCAGATAATGCAAATATATATTATCTTCCATTTGGAAATAGCAAACTTTGCCTTCTAAGTTCATACTTAAACATTTGCTTGTTAAAACATTCTGTTGGGAAGAATCATTTTCCTTTAGTCCTATTCACTTGTACCTTTACTGAACAATGACTGTTCTAGGTGCTGGGAATTCAGGAATGAAGCTTCTTCTCAAGTTGGGGAGTCAAATAATAAAACAAGTAATCAAGAACAGGTAGTGTCATGTAGAAAGAAGGAAATAAGGAAGCATAATCCAATTACATGAAGTACTGCAGAGATGATTCAGGATAAGGTGGTTTAAGAAGGCCTACATGAAATGAAAAGGAGGAGCATTTTGAGCAGAGGAAATTAAAAACAGCAGTGTGGGTGCAGGGAGGTATGTGGGAGGTACAGAATCATGTAAAGCCTTGAAGCCCATGGTAACAACAATTTTATGCTAACTGTAAAGAGATTTTACGGCAGGGGTCAGCATGAACTGCTTCACAACCTAATCATTCTGGCTGTGGGATGCAGAAAAAGTGGAAAGTGACAAAAGCAGAAGTAAAGATGCCAATTGGAAGGCTTTAAGAAAAGCAGTAGGGACTATCTTCTTTAAAATGAAAAATATTCTTTTGGAAAGATATGAGCCCCAAATTTAAGAATTTATATGATCCTCAGCTGAGACTTTTTTAAGGCTAAGTGGCAGATAAATGGAGGCTTCCTATATGATTTTCTTCACTTTCAAATTTATGTAAGTTTCATAATAAAAAGTCAGGCACAGTGGCACAAAGGCTCAGGAGGCTAAGGCAGGAAGATCGCAAGTTCAAAGCCAGCCTCAGCAACTTAGTGAGGACCCAAGCATTCATAATAAGAAGTCAACGGTGACACAGTGGCTCAGGAGGCTGAGGCAGGAGGATGGCGAGTTGAAAACCAGCCTCAGCAACTTAGGCCCTAAACAACTCAGTAAGACCCTGTGTCTAAATTTTAAAAATATATAAAAAGGTTGTGGTTCAGTGGTTAAGCACCATGGGTTCAATCACTGGTACCAAAAATAAAAAAAAAAGAAACGTTTCATGATAAGAAGTTAAAAATTCTTTGAGGTAGGCTTAAGTCAATGACACAGAAAAATGCAAGAGTTCAAAGAAAACGGTTACAGGTCATGGTGGGAACTTTCCAGTTCTATCCAATTTTGCTTATTTCTGAGACAAATCAATAATCAAATAAGTATAAAAGCATCTAAAATATAAATTCTTTTTGAAATTATCATGTCACTTTTTTTTCCATTAGGAAGAATAATCAAGAATGGACTACATAAAATTAGTAAAGAAAAATGTGTTAATGCTTTTGAAAGGATAAGAATTGTGATTAAGTGTCATAAAAATGAAGGTTTTTCAGCTATTTTCCCTGTTTCTACATCACAGAGATTCTCAAAACACCATTACAAGTCAGCTCTCCTTTGCAGGGCACCACCTTTGCACCCTCAATCCCCTCATCCTACAGTCCTAAAATACCATATCAAAGGTAACACGATGCAATCAAGCATCTCTCTGTCTCATGTACATGCAATCAAGCATCTCTCTGTCTCATGTACTATATTTTCAAGTGCTTTTGATGGTATATTTAATAATACAGGAAAGACTTCAGAATATTTAAGGTTCCATATATAGTGGTTACACAGTCACTTCTTGCCCATTTATATGTGACCTTGGGCAAGTTACTTAACTTTGATATGCAGGGACCCTAACAGTTCCTATCGCAGGGTTGCTATGAATCTGTGTAGAACGTCTGTACATGAAAAATGAGTACATGTCAAGTATTCAGAATAGGCCCAGAATTACAGAGAGCACTAAAGAAAAGTCATAAATAACTTTTATGTTTAAACAGTTCTTCATAATTTGTGAATCAAATTCTTCTCTTACCCAAAGATCCTATTCCATACACTCGAGCTGGTTTCAATTCCCTCTCAGCTCGGGCATATTTCGCTGCTGCTACCATTTTCATAGACTTGGTAATTTTCTGGATGTTTTTGATTGACTTTAGTCGCCTGGTAACTGAAAATTTAAAGGAGTTACAGTATAATTTCATTTGTGAATTCACTGAAATTTTTTCTAAAAAAGTGCAAGGTAGAATAATTAGCACTTAGATCATCAATAATCGCCATGATATTAAACTAGTCTTCAGTTAAAATTAGTACTAATAAAGGGCATGACTAGCTGTTATTTGGACAGAATATGCAAATAGCAACCTAAGAGAAAATAGTACATTATATATTTAAAATATTAAATGACACTAAAAATAGCCTTAACCCCATATTTTATAACATTATGTATATATGTATATGCAAATATTATAAATTTTTCTAGTTATATCATTATTACTCTAAAGACATGGAATAAAAATTTTTCATGCCACCTTATACTTTTCTAAAACACGTCCAACATCTCACATACATAATATAGATTCATTTTGCCAATTATGGGCTCAAGTGGTATATTTTGAAAGTATTTTTATTTGTCAAAATTTAGTTTTCCGTAATTCACATATTGAGACATACAACATACTTACTATCTTTCAGAGTTGCCATATTTCGAATTTGGATCCTGAGAACAAAAGTTTTAAAAACAGTTTAGTTTTCTGAAATATAGCTCCACTATCTAAAAAAAATATTCAGAGTTAATGTTTAAATATCCATGAGAAACAACCTGTCAAATACAGTAGTCTGAATGTACATGAAAAGACACAGACTTAAATTCCCAATAGTAATAACCAAGGCCTGTACCAAAACCTTGTTTTATTTGGCCTAACTATAACATAAACTGTTTGCTTTAGTCTCAATGGTAATCAAAAATTCTCCATTCCCATCTCCATCTTTGCTTATATTACTTCCAGGATAGAAAAGTCTTTTTCCCTCATTAGGCTAATTACTTAAAATCAAGGCCAGACACACCTAAAAAGCAACACTTGACTTAACTAGGGCAAAGCAATGTTTTAAAGTAATTCTGAGCATCAAATCCAGTGCAGTGGTATACACCTGAATCCCAGTGAGCTGGGAGGGTAAGGCAGGAGGATTACAAGTTCAAAGCCAGTCTCAGCAACTTAGTGAGACCTTACTAAAAATAAATTAAAAAGGGCTGGGGATGTGGCTCAGTGGTAACGTGCCCATGGGTTCAACCGCCAGTATGCAATAACAACTATAATATTAATATAAAAATATATAATAGTTATCAATCACAGAGCCTAACAAGATCACATGGATGTAAGTACATTTATTTAAAATTATTTTTACCTTTTTAAATTCAATGAAATAACCTTCTATGTTCCAGTAAATAAGATATGGTTTCTTTTTTTTTTTTTTAAAAGAGAGAG